CAGATAACCTGATAACCATGCATTTTATCCATTGTGTCTAGGGAAGACCACTGAAGTTTTAATTGATTTTAATGCTATGCTATCCTTTAGTTTGATAGAGATGTGTATGTACATAATGTAAATCTATTCACGAATTTCAATTTACTTCTATACTTTTGTTAAATTAATATTTTTCTTTATTCATATATAATTAGTTCGCAACGCTATAATTTGTTAAGTATATGAAGATATATATATATATAAGTAAGTACTATGTTTAATCACATGAATTGAGGTTAAATGATACCTTTGAAAACCCTCAACAACGTAGTACAGATAAAGTGCAAATCTACCTGTTCACAGAATAATGTAAATATGTTCATACTGATGAATTTTATATGCAGATAATTGAGTAGTCCACTTGCAAAGTGCGCTATGTAAAACTTTTTCGAATTTTAGTTTTTGGAGGATTACGTGCCAGTATTTATAGTAGTTTCATGTCCACTAACAACACAGTGCAAAATATTTTTACATATATTCTGAAAAAATATCAGCATTAAATGTTAACTCTTCTTCCAAAAGTCGCTGTCATACTTGTTTATAAACTTTCAAAAGTATACATCTTCTGATGAACTTAGAAAACTGCTTTAGGTCGTATAGACTGTTAATGTTATCTATTGTCATGTTATGTTATGTTACAATTTTATAAGGCTCTTATTTATCAAAATTTTCAGGTAATAATAAAAAAGATTCAATTTGAATGTTACTTGTTGTCGTGGATGTTTTTTTCGAATTTATGGCTTTCTATTATAAAATCACATAACGCTGTTTGCAAGTGGACTACTCAATTCATCATAACATTTTTCAGTTACATAAAATTTCATTTTTGAGTGCGTTAAGAATCAAACTTTGCTACTGCCTCTTATTTTTAAGTTTAAAAGAGCTTATTATGGACAATGCTAAGGAAATGAGTAATAACAAGATGTTTAAGCTGCTAGAGTGATTGTAATTATCTCTCTATATAAGTACATATTTAGCAAATATTGTAAATACATTTAGAAAATGGTAAATCTTACAAGTAAATAAAATATTGTCTCAAACTTTATATATCGTTAATATTATTGAAATTTCAAAGAGAAATTTTAAAATTCTTAAATACTCGCACATAAACATTATATTATATTAATGAAATTGATTGAGCAATGTATGTAAAAAACTTCAGTAGCATGGAAAATACAAATATAAGGAAAGTGGATAAGTCTATGAAGGATGTGGGTGCAATTTCTTTTCGATTTCATTTTCTACGCGTGCCTCATCCAACGATGCTACTGTTGGCAAACCTCCAGGCCAGTGTAATAGCTCATTTTCATGCTCCAATATCATATTAGCTTCAGCTGAAAATAAAAAAAGTTACAATAACAACTAAAAACATACATTCATGTGTGTCATCAATCGATTTTTGCACCTTGAATACGATGCACTTTGCTGCCGTACGCCAAATCGGCATAATATGCCATCACAAAGGTCAAGGGAATCATTGGGAGTAAAGCAGCCTTCCGTCTTATCGACTGATAATACTGCCAACACCCGATGCTAGAGGTGATATAGAAGGCGCTCAACCAGTAGAACAGTTCACGTTTACCAGCAATATAGGTGGCCATTTCGCGCTCTTTTATTTGGTAGTGCAGTTGTATCCAACGTTCCATCTGCAGAATCGATATTTGCAAATTATATAATTAAAATGAGGCAAATGTTGACGCTAAGTAATCAATAGGCAATAGGCACCTACTTTCAGCTCCTGGCATTTCCGGTACGCTGGATCATCGTGCGATGGAAAGCTAGACGTTGCGTTGCGTGACGTTGAAGAGCCCATTGCGACTTGTGTTTACTTATTTGTGTAAAGCAAGCAATGGAATGTCTAGCTATACTGCATCAAAGTGAAAGTCCAAGAAGATAACGATTATTTCATCAACAAAGGCAGTACATATACGCAACAAATAGCAATTTAGTTGTTAAACATTGTAAAACACACTTTTCAAATGTACTGCATACAAAAGATCTAAAAAATATACTTTATTTTAATATAATTATTCGATTTTAAGCACTATTTCAATAGAATATTTATTAGTAAAATTTTGTTTGCTTCACCAAAAGCACTCCAGTGCTTAAGCTATCGCGACTCGCTTCGATTGCGTATTTGTCTTTCTGAGAGACTTCCAGAGTATGATAGCGCGTATGTAAAATACTATTGAATATTTCAACATTTCTATACTTCAACTTATTCTGGCAATCTCTGGTGGTTTTCGGCTGCTAAGGAGCACTCAGACCTGCGCATCAGCGCTTACATATATCATTGTTTCTTTGTTGGTATTTTGACTGTACTGCTTCTTGCTGATTGTTTTTGTGCTCGGAGAGCATTATTGTTTGCATGTCAACAAACCAGTACCTCCACCAGCTGTGCAGCAGAAATCGCTAGCGATGCGTTCATAAACTGGGTTGGATATAGCCATGCCGAGGGTTTAAGGGGTATGTACTACTGATAATGAAGTACGCTCAATTTCGAGCGTAACGAAGAGCATACTAGTAACTTAATAATAATAAAAAAGTAGAATTTCCACTCATCTGTGACGACTTTTTAACATACCCTATAAACATATGTTTTTATGTGTGGACGACCACCTTAGGTGATTCAAATTTATTTATAATTAATTAAACAACCGTATTGTACGTTAGTCCGTAAGAAGACGAAAAAAATAGAGACCTACCATAATAGTACAAATAAAACTTTTATTTCAATATTCGCAATTCGTACATAGGTATTGTACATATGTATGTATGCCTGGTTTTTATTTTATTTACTACACTCACGTACTTGAATGCTGTCATCGTTAGGTTAATATTTGCTATTTTTTACTATGACTGCAAATGGAATAAAGACACTGCAAAGCAGCAAAATTGTTATTTTCAAAAAGTGTCGTCATTTGTTAAGTATTTTAAATACATATTCAGATTTTGTGTGATATTTTGTTAGTAGATCGTGATATTAGTTTGTACGTGTGCGCTCCGTTTTGTAGCTGCCAACAATTAACGGAGCGGAAGCAAGCTAGCAAACATCCCAAAGACACAGTTCGCACATTAAAACATTATTCTTTGCATTACCCTGGATTGTATAAGCGCATATATATATATATATATATATATACATTCAGGAATGTGTAGACTAAGGCCGATACATTCCTGGGTTAATGACCATTTCCGATTGGGCAGTAACCCACAATAAATTTAACGCTCAGGAAAAAATAGATTTTATTTGATAGTTTTAACATTTGTTTAATGTGCAAAATATGCAGTTAATAAGGTGACCAGTCTCCTCCATTCCTCACTACTTAGAAGGTGCTCACTCACTACTTAGAGGCTACTCTTAAACATATTCCTGTGGTAGGTGCGGGTAATTCATTGGATTTGGAATCGCTGCAATCTTGCAACAACCATAGGCTGATTTTTTAAAGCGATAATTTAGAAGGAAATAGATTCACTATTCCTATATTGCAAGTGAGCCCGCGTGGCGCTAAAATGCCAAAATTGAATTCAGCCTTTGAAACCGGTGCCAACTCTCTTCAGAGCCCTAAAAAATATTCCAAATTTTAGCCACAGATATAAGCGATCCGCGGCCTAATGTTTATCTTAATCTAAACAATTGAAGTAAAATATTTATCATTCACTATACGGCAAAATCAACTTTTTTTCAGGGTTTTGGACCAAACCAGTTTTTTTGTAAGAGATTGACTCATAAGTATAAAAAAGTAATTTCTCCGTTTTGCAAAGTTAGCCTCTGAAATCGAGATATGGGCGTTCAAAGTTCGAAATTGGTCCTTTGGTTAAAAATTATTTGTAATTATTACACGTAAAAAGCAAAAAAAAAAAAGGAAAAATATAGACGTGGTCCGGCTTTTGCTCGTATTTAAATGGTATATAACTTTTTTTGTGCAAACTTACTTTACAGGTGCAATAAGGGGTCAAAGCCTAGATCTTCGAAAAATTAAAAAATTATATAAAAAAAAAATTTTGAAATGATTTTTGACTCCTTATAGCACTTTCAATATAAGTTTGCACAAAAAAAGTTATATACGGTTTAAATAAGAGCGAAAGCCGGAACACGTCTATATTTTTACTTTTTTAGATGTTTACCTACAATAATTACAAATAATTTTTTACCAAAGGTCGAACGCGCATATCTCGATTTCGGAGTCTAACTTCGAAAAACGAAGAAATTACCTTTTTAATTATGACACTATCTCTTAAAAGAAAGTTGGTTTTGTCCAATACCGAGCCAAGTGCTGTACCGTGTTATAGATCAGTCAATCTGTCATTAGAGGTCGAAATAATTCTCATTTTCGGGACTAAATAAAAAATGCTGTTACTCATACGCCACGTATATACGTGTTTGATTAAAATTAATGAGCCTCGACCATATACATATGTAATACTTCTATATTGGCAGTAATACTTCTATATTGGCAAAAAATCAAAACGAGACAGTTTAGTACCGTTTCGAAAAAATTCGAACAACTGTCAAATCACTCCAGTGGCAAATTTAATTTATAGTGAAGGGAGCTGTAATTTGAAGAAAGGGCCGAGGTGTAGTTTAAAAAAAAGTTAAATGTTATAATGGTCAGATATGAAATCGTCTATTAAGATCATCAACACGAACAAATTCAAATGGACTATTCATGAAGATGCAAACGATCAATCTAGTTATCTAGGCATACATATGTACATACATATATTAGCTGTGGTAACAGACAGTCCAACAATATGTTTATTTTAATCGTTTGCATCGGTCGGAACAAGTGTACTTTTTTTTGGATTTGTCTATCCCGATCTGCTTTATAGTAGTTCAATTAGCTTAGAGTTTATCGCGGAACTAAACATTTCTTCATATAACATGGTTTTAGCCGTCCTGATAGCAGCTTTCTTGCAGTAGTTTGACTGTTTTAAAACGGCTAAATGTTTGGGGTAGCCGCTGTGGTCTAGGTGGTAAGCAGTGCGTTTGGCTTCACTTGGCATTTCCAATTAGCTTCAGTTAGCACAGAAGAAAAGCGACTAGCGTGCTTTGTTGAACTCGGCCGAAATCGCTTAGGCGGTTATAGCGCCAAATGAGAAGAAGGAGAAGCCTGAATTAAACCAGGACCTACTACTAAGTTTTGCTATTTTATGTCTGATAATATTATCAAAGAGTCAGTTAACGTTACCTTGTTTGGTCAACAATGAAAGTCAAATTTCAAATCAAACTACATTTTATTCCTCTCTGTAAGTGAATTGTGTTCCCGACGTTTGGAAGTCATAGATCAAAATTTTTAAGTCGTGCTTCGAGAATCCAGATGCTTCGAGTTGAATGTAGAGGAGCGATTTATGTAGGTCATTCACAAAAAATATATCTATAGTGTGGATAAAATGCGTTAGTTGGTAGTCGCGAAAATGTCGAAGTATATAGCCGCAAATTAGTCCCCAGAGTTCCAAAGTGGTCTCGAAAATCTCAAAGTATACCGAATTTCACGAGCCAGTCCCTACAATCTCGTATTAGTCCTAAAAATCGCGTAAGATTCAAAAATATTTAACGCTAAGTACCCAACAAATCTACAAAATACTTAAAAAAACGAAAAATCCCGAAAAATTTAATATGCCATATTTTCTTAAAGCTCTGGTGTTGAGGGATATTTATCATCCTGATAAGTACTTTAACAATTTTAGTATTTCAGTACGCACACTACTGCAGTCTGTTTTGAAAAATACAGAATATTCAAATCGTAACTTTGATTTTCATAAATGCCTGAAAAATTAAATTCAAACACTACCGATATGTTCTGCGCAAATATATCGAGCCCTAACCGCCAAAATAACGTAAGCGATATTTTTTTCAAAATTTTATTTTTCATGCAGAAATATTCCTCGGGCATCTAGATGTATTTTTGCAACGAAAAGAAAATTTTGAAAAAAATGTCGCTTACGTTATTTTGGCGGTTAGGGCTCGATATATTAGGACTTAAAAATAAAAAAAAAAATCTGAAATAATCGGTATCTATTTTTTGTGCCGACATAAGCAATAAAAGTCAGAATTTTAAAAGGCATGACAATTTTTTTCTATGCCCATGTGCGTACATAAGTAACGCGGCACATTTAGGTACATACATATGTACACATATGGGTATGTTTGTTTGTATATAAGTGCACTGATATATGTACATAGCAATAATTTGTTATTTATGTACCATTTACATATTTATTTTTTACGAATAACAGACCGCACACCGGCTGTTTAGGACAACACAGCTCAGCTGATTTTTATTTACAATTTTCAAAATGTAAACAAACACTCACATATCCTACGTAGCACTACATACATACATACATACATATGTATACATATGAATAAATAAACACCTAAGTTATGCTTGTGCGCATGTTAGTAATCTTGACCTAAAATGCCGGAAAAGTTGAATCAAAACAAAAAATGTACATATAGTAAAGACATACTTATGTACAGATCGAGATCTAACCGACAAAAAGATGTAAACGAAATTTTTTTCAACATTTTATTTTTGATGCAGAAATGCATCTAGATGCTCTAAGAACATTTCTGCATCAAAAAGAAAATTTTGAAAAAATGTTCGCTTACATCGTTTTGGCGGTTAGAGCTCGATAAGTATGCATATATGTACGTATATATGCTTTTGACGCCGCATAACATTACAAGATAAAGGAAAGTACCTCAAAGTAAAAGCACCACTTACACACATACGTATGTATGTATATAGCTATATAAGTGTAGGTACATACATACATAAATATGTATATATTTCTAACTAGATATGGATTTAGTATGTATGCCCAAGAGCCACGATTCGGCTACGCTGCCTATTTTACCATTTGCTCGTATCGTTGCTGCTATCAGTATTGATTTTGTGCACCTACGAAGCTGACATTTGATCAGAAAGGAGTGAAAATTTTTCCGCAGAATATTTTCCACAAAAAAAATCCAAATGCTAGTGCAAAATTAAGGTAAAAATGTGTTAAACAATGCCCGAAAGTCTTTAGTTGCCTTTATTTATCTATTTGCATCTGCTAAGCGGTTTCTGTGAAAATCGTAGCATACTTCGGGGCGTTTACCCTGGGATATGTAGAGAGAAGTTAAAAGGCTAACAACTGGAATTAAAATTAAAAGTGTTGTTGAAAACTCTTAAAAAAAGTTTTTAATGAAGAAGTAGACTTAAATATTTCAATGAAAAGTGCCTTTAATGCAGAAAAATAGCTATGAAAAAATTTTACAAGTTATATTGGTTGTATTGATTTTTCGCAGAAGAAACTGCGTGCTCGTATTCACAATATATATGTATGTATTCAAGTAAGTTTACACAATCGTAGGCGCGAGAGCACACAGCTTCGGGCATTGATGAACCAGAGTAAAGATATTTTTTTAAAGGAAAATTGGGAAGCTGCTGGGAAAACAGCTGATTAAATTTTGTTTACATTTCAATGGGGCTCGTCAGGAATTTTATTTAGGTTTATTTATTTTACCGTGTTATCGAGGCCGGTGATAACAGTGCCGTATACAAACTGTGTGGTATGAGGTCTACTAGGCGTATACATACAGTAGGCAGCCTAATGCTAATTATTAAGAAGTGATATACTACATTAAAAAATAATTCGACCGCTTACTTCCATTTCAGCTTCTCCCCTTTGGAAACCCTAGCGCTTTGGGGAACACTCGCGCAAAAATCCACTTCTTAGCAACCTAACCTTTTCCTTCGCCCACGTAGGATGCGCCCAACCTCTATGCTTGAATGATTGACCGATTGCATACGCGTCGCTTAGGAGCTGCAAGCAACCGGAGCGATACCGGCTCCCTATCGGCGACTACCGCAACCGGTGTTGGCGGTGTTATCGGTACTAGTACGAGTGGCGGCAGTGGCGGCGGCGGCGGCACTATTACTACACCTCCAGCCAGCACCAGCTCCTCCAGCGGACACAGTCTGCAGCAACAGCATACACAGCCGCAGGTACAACAGCAGCAACAATTTCGCTCATCACTACACCACCATCATCATTCGTCAGGCCATAGCCATTTCACCTTTAATACAGGTGGCAGTTATAGTCAGGGCCATAGTTCCGGCAGTCTATCGCGCATTTCACGCAAGGCAGGCACATCACTCTCCGCATCTGCACAAAGTGGGCATGGCTTTGACGGCACCAGTACCCTAAACAGTCCGTCAGTTGTGAATTCGGGAAGCGGCAGCGCTAGTAGTGGTCCCGGTTTACTACCCTCAATGGCGCCAATGTTGGGCACTTCAACAAGTGGTGGTAGTGGCGGCGGTGGCATAGCCGGTGGTCAACTAGGTGTTATAAGTCAAAATGTGTCATCGACTGCCGCAGGTAGCGGTGGCGTCGGTGGCAGTGGTGGCAGCGGTGGCGTTGGTGGAGGCGGTAGTGGCAGTGGTGCAGGTGGCATTGGTGGCGGTGTCATGGGCGGTATTGGTGGCGTTGGCGGCGGTGCGATAGGCGGTGGTGTTGGCATGGGCATCTGTGGCGGCATTAGTAGTACGATGGGGCCGAGCAGTGCTGCCATAACTGGCGTCCCCCCTATTGGGCTGGGCCTAGCAACGGGCATTGGTAATAAGATGCTCGGCCGCAAGCAAAGCCTCAAGGGGGGCGAACCGTTTTTGGCCGATTACGGTCCCGAGGAGTCGCTTAACGAAAGTGCCGATATTGAATGGGTGAATAAGCTGTGGGTAAGGCGACTAATGCGTCTATGCGCCTTAGTATCCTTGGCCTCAGTCTCATTGAATACGCCGAAAACTTTCGAGCGGCATCCCCCATTACAGTATATAACATTCGTGTCGGACACCGCGGTCACGCTGCTATTCACCGCCGAAATGATTGCCAAAATGCATATACGTGGCGTCTTGCATGTAAGTACGGTAAATAGTAAAAGTTCTGTAACTACAACAATAACTAAATGTTGAGCAAGCTTGAACGAATCCATCGAGCCAAATTAAGGAAAAAATATATACATAGAGGAGTCTTACTGGGGGACAAAAACTCCATCCTATTCTCTATTCATTAGAATACAGTACTAACCCTGCAAACCAAAGTTCCCGAAATCTTTAAGAAATCTTTAGGAATTTCTCATTTCTGTAACGATTCTGTTACGAATTTTCAAAGAAAATTATATGTAATGGTTGATACAAACTCGTAAAGAAATTTCTGTACGAAAAATAAAGAAAGTTCTGAAAAAATTCTGCAAGAAATTTTTCACATAGCAACATTATTTTCATTGCTATACCGATTTTCTTCCGAAATTTCGTAAAAGAATCGAAGTGTGCACAGTTTATTTCATTTTTAAAAATTCGGCAAAAAATCGGATGAGATCTATACGAATTCTTTAGAATTTCTCTACAATTCAGAGTACTCTGAAAAAATGGTTTGCAGGGCATATGTAGCTTCTGGGAACCAAAACTAGAGAATACCCACCGCAATTAAATAAAAACGAAGGTGAAGATAAGGAATGAAGATTGAAGATGAATATCAAGATAAAAATTAATAATGAAGATGAAGATAATGATAATGATACAACAGGTCGTTGTAGTGGTACTAGTGTAAAAAATTAAGTAGAATTGACCCTTAAAACTCTGCAAACCTTTGTATGTACAGATATGTACATCGCGTATCACTTTAACCGAGATATCCTTGCATACCTTATATGAAAGTATATCGCTCGATTGATTTGCTCAGGCTTGTTGCTGTTATTGATGTCGTCACGTAATTTATTTTTTTTTTGAATAACCCACCTAACCATAAGCGTCAAATGAATCGTGTTCGCAACTGTGATTCATTGTATATACTTATATACATATGTATATGTATTGATGCATGAATGCATGTGTGTCATTTCGAAAAAGGTATTGCCAATTCGCTTTTAAACGAATTTTACTAATCCAATATTTTTCCATACTTTATATTACTAACAAATTATCTTAGGGTGAAGTACCATATCTAAAGGATCATTGGTGTCAATTCGATGCGTCAATGGTATTTTTTCTCTGGATATCGATTATATTACAAATATTCGAAGTTTTAGAAATTGTACCCAAGTAAGTTGGTCTTTTGTTAAATACAAAACAAATACCCCATGAAAAAGTTGTTTGAGAAATGTTTCGGAAATTATTGAAACTTACCACTTCATATGCCGTTTAAATAAACAGTGCGAATATACATATGCACATACTTATTTTTATAAAAAGCGTTTATGTTAACAATTTCCGAGACACTTTTATTTCAATTTTCAGTAGCATCGAAGTTTTTACTAACATTTATCACTCAGATTTTCTTACATCTCCATTTTACGCGCACCACGCCCCTTAATTATGATACGATTCCTGCGAGTCTTCCTGAAATTTTCGATGCCAAAGAGTCGTATTAATCAAATATTTAAGTGAGTGAAGCATTTTTTTTGTTTAGTAAAATACTGAGTACTAATTTCGTTTATTTTACAGACGCTCGAGTCAACAGATCTACAACGTAACATTGTTCTTCCTGTTCTTTATGTCGTTATACGGCTTACTGGGGGTACAATTCTTCGGAGAATTAAAAAATCATTGTGTGATGAATAATTCGGAATACGATTACTTGGGAAGGCCGTAAGTTTTAACAAAAATTTATCTCTGTTTTTTTGATTACTAATCGAATGGGCTTAGATGGTATTGACTGCTAAAAAAATTGGTAAAATCATAGTTTCTTAAGCTAAAAAAAAATATATACAAACATACATACAAAGTAAGCTCGACAATTTTTCTATATGAAAGAAAGTTAGAAAAAAATTTGTTAAAATCAACGCGATTTTTTAACAACGGTGCCCATGAAAAAGTACCCATCCATATTTAAGGTAGTAGTCAAGGTATTAATCTGAGCGCAAATAAAAAAATCGTGGGGATTATCGCAAGAGAGTTTTTTAATCCTAAACGATAGCCAACTTACCCTTAAAACACTTTCAGCTTTTGAGGTTAAAACATATTTGAATTAGATAGTATCAGCTAAAATTCAAACAACTTCGCATTTGGTAGTACATCCCACAGTGGTAGAGCCCCATACATTTGTTTGGAAAATTATTTGGTTGGAGGTAGCGTGGGGCTTTAATTTTCCGTATATAACATAAATAAAGAAAATGAACAATTTGTGAGTTGGTTTATTTTAGCGCATACCTCCCATACAAGCCTAACCTAATGTAATAAAAAGCGGTCGATGTATTTACGACTCCGACAAGTGGGAAGTGACATACATAATATCGATGCTAAGACATCAAGTTGTCAATTAACATACATACATACATATATTTGAAAAAAAAAACGGTCAGGGTCAGAAAAACGTTTTAGCGTTTAAAAGTGACAGAAAATGTTTAAAATATTGATATTATTTTCATAATTAGGTTTCTTCTTATCGCAAATGAGTTCAATAAAGTTAAAAAAAATGGAGTTATCATAAACGTATTCTGCCCTATCCTGAGTTTCGCCCGAAAAAAAATTCACCGCAAAATTTTTCATCCGCCCATAGTAAATACATGTAAAAGAAAAGTGAAAAGTGAACCGGTTCGAGGAGAATTAAACTCATGATAAGGCTGATTATCTTGGAAATAATATAATCATACTTATCACGAGTTTCATTTTCTCTGAACCGGTTCACTTTTCACTTTTGGTTTCCATGGTTTTACTATGGGCGGATGTCACATTTTTGGGTGATCTTTTTTCAGGCGAAACTCAGAATAAGGCAGAATATATTTACTTTGCTTCTAAAACGGTTGTTGGCATTATCTCCCATTTAAGGCTTATGCTTCTTAAAACAGAGTTGCGGTATTGCAATAGATATTCAGAGCTTATTCCAATAGCTGTATTAGGTACAAGTATTAAAATAGAACGTCTAAAGAACTAAACAAAATTTACTTAGTTCCTCTCGTACACCACTGTGGAACCGTTCCTCGGTTTGGCCCAGACCGAAAAACTTCTTCAATTGCCTCACCCTTTTACGCCGGGTACTTTTTTTGCATAAGAATGTTCGAGAAAGAGATAAAAGCAATGAGTAAACAGACTCGCAGTATTTACGAGTACTAACTAACCCCAGCGAAAGTTGTCTTACACGGATACTGCAGTTTATGAGGTCATCTGCATAAACTCTAAATTTGCTAGAGTAACTCGGCCAAAAGGAAGAATGTGATGCCGACTACTGAATACCAGAGAAAGGTTTGAGGGTTCAATGTGACCTTGTAAAACGAGCCGCCTGGTATGTTATATGAAATTTCGGAAATATATGCAAGAGCTCTAATAAAAATATCATCGAGAATACATCCAGTCTATACTCTATATCATACTTCAATGTTAGGAACATAAAACAACAAACTTAAAGAAATATTTTTTTCTGATCTCGTTGTTAAATCCCATATGAAATTCTGCCATGAAAATGAATTTGCTACAGAACTCAATCGCCATTCCAAATAGGCATTAAAGTGTAAAAAAAGAAATTGTGTCGCTTTGGCCAAATGCATATATTCTATACTTAAATATATCCGATAGGTGACTTCTATATTTCCCCTCCCTTGTATATTTCCCTCCAGCATTTTGACGATCAATTCGTTGGCCATACCCGATACGTTCTGCTCCATGGATCCCGATTCTGGATATCAATGCTCACCTGGAATGATGTGCATGAAAATGGACTTTCTAAGCAGCTACGTGATTGGCTTCAATGGGTTTGAAGACTTTGCTACGAGCATTTTTACTGTCTACCAAGCGGCATCGCAAGAGGGCTGGGTCTTCATTATGTATCGTGCGATCGATTCGCTTCCAGCCTGGCGTGCTGCCTTCTACTTTAGGTAAGGAACTACAGAGTTTTATTTAAGAATTAGTTTTTTTTCTAAAAAAAAAAACACCTTCGCTTCACCAGCACAATGATATTCTTTCTCGCTTGGCTGGTGAAGAATGTTTTCATTGCTGTCATCACAGAGACTTTCAACGAGATACGCGTACAGTTCCAGCAGATGTGGGGTGCGCGTGGTCACATACAAAAGACGGCTGCATCGCAAATACTCAGCGGCAATGATTCCGGTTGGCGTTTGGTTACGATAGATGATAATAAACATGGCGGCCTGGCGCCTGAAACTTGTCACGCTATTTTACGTTCGCCCTACTTTCGTATGTTGGTAATGTCAGTGATCTTGGCTAACGGCATAGTTATGGCCACAATGACTTTCAAACATGATGGTCGCCCAAGGAATGTGTTTTATGAGAAATATTACTATATCGAAATGGCGTTTACGTTCTTCTTGGACTTGGAGACGCTGTTCAAGATCTACTGCTTGGGTTGGCGTGGTTACTACAAACATTCAATACATAAATTTGAATTGCTGCTGGCTGTGGGCACTACCATACACATTGTCCCGATGTTTTACCTCTCTGGATTCACCTACTTTCAGGTAAGATCCGACTACGTATTATATGTGTATTAGGGTGTATCACTCTCCGTGCAAAAAATAAAAGTCGGTGCCAGTTTTCTCTCTGAATTATTAAGTGTATTGTATTTTAAGACTTTCGTCAAAATATTCCGGAAAAATATTTCGATTGGCGTGAGCTGGACCGACTTTAAAATATTTACCTCCAAAAATCGGCTTTTTTTAAATAAAGTCAGTTTAAAAAAATTTGTTTTTCTAAAAAATCACCTCAGATTATAGAGGAGTTTAAGCTTAGAAGGCCTGCATAAAATGTTTAAAAATTTTAATAACGAAATAATATTTCAAATTCGTCCAGCACACACAAATCTCAATATTGTTTCGACATATACCAACAATTTTTACCTTCTTCCTTCTTCCAGGTCCTACGCGTTGTCCGTTTGATCAAAGCGTCACCGATGCTCGAAGGCTTCGTTTATAAAATTTTCGGCCCCGGCAAGAAACTCGGCTCACTGATCATATTCACTATGTGCTTGCTGATCATTAGCTCCAGCATTTCCATGCAACTTTTCTGCTTTCTCTGTGACTTTACGAAATTCGAATCATTCCCGGAAGCATTTATGTCTATGTTCCAGATTCTCACGCAAGAAGCTTGGGTTGAGGTTATGGATGAAACTATGATACGCACAAGTAAAACACTGACACCCCTAGTGGCCGTCTACTTCATACTCTATCACTTGTTCGTCACATTGATCGTGCTGAGTTTGTTCGTGGCGGTTATTTTGGATAATTTGGAATTGGATGAGGATATTAAGAAATTGAAGCAACTTAAATTTCGCGAGCAAAGCGCTGAGATCAAAGAAACTCTACCATTTCGTTTGCGCATTTTCGAAAAGTTTCCAGATTCGCCACAAATGACTATACTCCATAGAATACCGAACGATTTCACGTTGCCGAAAGTGCGTGAGTCCTTCATGAAACATTTCGTAATCGAGTTAGAAACAGATGATCCTTCGATCGTCGAGAATTGTAAGCGACCTATGTCGGAATGTTGGGAGTCCAATGTGGTATTTCGTAAGCAGAAGCCTGTACGAATAATGAACAAAACGCCAAAGGTGCGTTCGGCCGGCAGCAGTTTGCGGAAGTTAGCTATCACTCATATAATCAAGTAAGCGATAGATAAGGAACTGTCTTTCAAAATGTAAATAGAATTGGCTGCAAAATTTTCCGAATGGGAAACTGCTGTCGAGACATTCCTTTTTTGAAGGGAATAGTATGTCTTAATATGCAAGCAGAGAATAATTTGTATATATGTATGTATATATGTATGTATGTATGTATATGGTATCATCCATGAACGAAAGACTGTCTTTTTGGTTCATGGGTATCATCTAGGGCATTTAAAACAATCGTTCATTCCCTTATCGAAATGTTTCGGCAGCCGTTGTCCTGCATGCAATGTGTCCTCAAAATTCTCATATTTGTGTACTTTTATTCAAAATTGACTTACTCAAGTCGACTTTCCAGTGATTCGAATAATCAGCGTTTAATGCTTGGAGACTCCGCTATGCTGCCTGTCGTAGGCGGCAAAGGGGGTTTAAAGTCTCAAGGCACCATAACACATTCGAAACCATGGCGTGTAGATCAAAAGAAGTAGGTTCCTAACACATTTTAAGCGATTGCATTAATCTGGTATTGGCCTTAACTTTTATTTGTGTCAACCCAGATTTGGTTCACGTTCTATACGCCGGAGCGTACGTTCCGGTTCGATTAAATTGAAACAGACTTATGAACATTTAATGGAGAATGGCGACATCGCAGCAGCGCCACGCGCCAATTCGGGGCGTGCACGTCCACACGATCTGGATATAAAGCTGTTGCAAGCGAAGCGTCAGCAGGCCGAGATGAGACGCAATCAACGCGAGGAGGACTTGCGCGAGAATCATCCCTTCTTCGATACACCGCTCTTCCTAGTGCCGCGTGAGAGTCGTTTCCGTAAGATTTGCCAGAAAATCGTGCATGGCCGCTACGACGCCCGTCTCAAAGATCCACTGACGGGCAAGGAACGCAAAGTGCAGTACAAAAGCATGCAGTATGTTTTTGTTTTTACTGATTTTCCAAAAGTTTAATCTGTATGCATTCATATTTATGTACATATGTATATTCTTCCTTCTCATACGCAGTAACTTTCTCGGTCTTGTCACTTACTTGGATTGGGTAATGATCTTCGTTACGACACTCTCCTGTATTTCAATGATGTTTGAAACGCCCAGCTACCGGGTTATGGATCATCCGACTCTACAAATAGCTGAATATGGGTTCGTTATTTTTATGAGTCTGGAGCTGGCACTTAAAATACTCGCCGATGGCCTCTTCTTCACGCCAAAAGCATATATAAAGGACGTCGCCGCTGTGTTGGATGTCTTCATATATGTTGTTTCTACATCCTTCCTCTGCTGGATGCCTCAACAGATACCGACCAGTTCCGGCGCACAACTCCTAATGATTTTGCGCTGTGTGCGTCCGTTGCGTATTTTCACGCTGGTGCCACACATGCGCAAGGTCGTTTATGAGTTGTGTCGCGGCTTCAAGGAGATCCTGCTCGTATCCACGTTGCTCATACTGCTCATGTTTATATTCGCCAGCTATGGTGTACAGTTATATGGTGGGCGATTGGCGCGTTGCAATGATCCTACTATAATGCGTCGTGAGGATTGTGTGGGCGTGTTTATGCGACGCGTTTTTGTAACAAAAATGAAACTCACGCCCGGCGCCAATGAGTCGTATCCGTCAATGTTGGTGCCCCGCGTCTGGGCTAATCCGCGCAGATTCAATTTCGACAACATCGGTGATGCGATGCTGACGTTATTCGAAGTGCTCTCCTTCAAGGGTTGGTTAGATGTGCGAGACGTGTTGATTAAAGCTGTTGGACCGGTGGGTACAAAATTAAAGTTATAGTTTTCCCAACTAGAGCAGCTAGAATTTGTGTGTTCTCTTCTCTTTCAGATACATGCCATCTATATACACATCTATATTTTCTTGGGTTGCATGATTGGACTGACCTTGTTTGTGGGTGTGGTGATCGCTAACTACTCGGAGAACAAAGGTACCGCTCTCTTGACAGTCGATCAGCGTCGTTGGTGCGATCTGAAAAAGCGTTTGAAAATTGCGCAACCTCTGCATTTACCACCGCGTCCTGATGGCAGAAAGTTCCGTGCATTTACCTATGATATAACGCAGAATATAATTTTCAAGCGTATTATAGCGGTGGTGGTGCTGATCAATAGCATGTTGCTATCTATTACGGTAAGGAGGGTGTTTGCCGAAAGTGATAAAATGATGAGAAGACACCGAATCAATTCTTTACGTTTGTTTGCAGTGGATTAAGGGTGAAGTGCATACTGAACGTTTAGTGATCGTCAGCGCTGTGCTGAATTTTGTGTTTGTCATTGAAGTGGTTATGAAGAATATAGCGTTCACTCCACGCGGCTACTGGCAATCGCGACGAAATCGCTATGACCTACTGGTCACAGTGGCTGGCGTTGTTTGGATATTCTTGCAAACTATATTAAGGGTAGGCTGTAATTATCTTCTATAAAACACGTACAAGATAATTAATTAATTATTTTCCAACTCTTTTCAACAGAATGATCTCTCATATTTCTTCGGTTTTATGGTGGTAATTTTGCGTTTCTTCACCATTACTGGCAAACACACCACACTCAAAATGCTTATGCTAACAGTGGGCGTGTCCGTTTGCAAATCATTTTTCATCATATTCGGCATGTTTTTGCTGGTGTTCTTCTATGCTTTGGCTGGCACTATCCTCTTCGGTACTGTCAAGTATGGTGAGGGTATTGGAAGGCGTGCAAATTTCGGTTCACCCGTCACAGGAGTGGCTATGTTGTTTCGGATTGTTACCGGAGAGGATTGGAATAAGATTATGCATGACTGCATGGTGCAGCCGCCATACTGTACACCGGGAAACAATTACTGGGAAACCGATTGTGGTAAATAAATACAGTGAAGTCTCGAAATAACGAACCTTGGTATAACAGTAAACTTAATATGATGTAATTTTCCCTTAGTTCGCTGAAAAAAGAACACCTTATGCTCTTTCGGCCATGACTATGTAGTTATTTAAAAAGTTGACTTGAATTTGAAATTTTGTTAACACATTGAGCCTTTAAACAGCATTAATTTGATTTACTAAATTTGCAGGCAATTTCACCGCCAGTTTAGTTTACTTCTGCACGTTCTACGTCATAATTACCTATATTGTGCTAAATTTGCTAGTGGGTGTGTACAACGGTGTCGATAAAATATGCAATTAAGTACTGTATATTCATATCTATACATATTTTTTTCGCACAGCTATTATCATGGAGAACTTTTCATTGTTCTATTCAAATGAGGAGGATGCGCTGCTTTCCTATGCTGACATAAGAAATTTTCAGAACACATGGAATATAGTGGATATACATCAACGTGGCGTCATACCGGTACGACGTGTAAAATTTATACTGCGTCTCTTAAAAGGACGACTGGAGTGTGATCCACAAAAGGACCGATTGCTTTTCAAGTACATGTGCTATGAGCTGGACAAGCTGCATAATGGCGAAGATGTGACATTCCACGATGTAATCAAGTAAGTGTACAAATAGTATATCGTCCATACATATTTACATATGTATGTACATTAGGGTGCATCACTAAAAAAGTTTCAATTCTTCCACCGGAATTATAAAATGTATTATATTTTAAGATTTCCGCCAATATATTACAGTGGGTGCATCACTCTTCCATTTTTCCATTTATTATATTTTAATGGCCTTATTCGTGAAAAATTAAATAGGGTTAAAAAAATTTATAAATTTTATATTAAATATTTTTAAAAATCTAACTTTATTTATAAAAAAACTCCTTTTTGGAGGTATTTCAAATAGGTCCAGCTCGCGTAAACCTTGATATTTTTTTGAAATAGTTTGGCGGAAGTCTTAAAAGAGGATACGTTTTCTATTTCCGATGGAAAAACAGTACCTTTTTTTTTTGTGAAGAGTGTGGCACCCTACTATACGCACATTCAAATCTAATCTTCCTTTCTCGTTTTAGCATGTTATCCTATCGCTCAGTGGACATACGTAAGGCCTTACAGCTAGAGGAATTACTGGCACGCGAAGAATTCGAATATTTAGTTGAAGAAGAGGTGGCTAAGATGACGATACGCACATGGTTGGAGGGTTGTTTGAAAAAGATACGCGCACAAAATGCAAGTGTACGCTCTTAACTAATTGTTAAATTTAAACTCTGTTGATTCATCTACATATGTATGTATGTATGTACTTTTCTTGCCTTTAGAAGCAACAAAATTCTCTCATAGCCGGTTTGCGCGCCACTAATGAACAGCTTATGCTGCTTAAGGCTCCCGAAGATAAAACACCCACCACCGGTGGGGAAAAACCACCTGGCAGCGCCACTGCACCTTGCCCACCTACCAGTGATGCTTTTTCGCCCACCTTCAGTTCAACCGAGAACGAAGAGAAGGATGCCAGCGGCAGTGCCGCCATTTCAACTACCGCCGATGCACATGGCGTGCAACGTGTCATAAGTGCCACCAAGCGTGTCTATGTGCTAAATCGCTCCGATTCGACGGGTAGTTCAGCTGGTCGCAAATACTTGGCACCCACCACATCCGATCCACAACAACGCAGCACACTCACCGACAAAGAGCGCTTGCATATTAGTAGCCAGCAGAAGAAGAAAAATTCAATGACAGCAGTGCCCACACTGCCACCCGTTGTGGCAGCGAGCGGTGCTGTAATTAAACGCGATATAAATCGCACGTCGGGTTATTTCGCTTCGACCAATAGCGATGGCAGTCAATTTCATTATCCACCGAATGTGACGAATCACTATGGAGAACAACATGGACCGCTGGGTAGTCCATCGGCAATTATGGGACACATAATTGCGGGTAGTAAACTATTACCTTTCAACAATCAAGCAAATGCGGTGTACGAGGTGCACGATTGGTGGCAAGAGCAAGTGATTTGCACGCTCTACAGCGATGATGAAGGTTAGTTTTTGTATTAAATTGTGAATTAAATAGTAGGAAAAACTAAACAATCTAGGTATAAGTACGATTAAAAAATTAGTAATTATAAGATGGGATACTATGATTAGTAAATTAATGTGATTAATGTAAATGTTACATTTTATCGTTAAATTGTTGGCTTTGCTAAGCACAATGCCAAATTTACAGACACAAATAATAATATACTCAATGATAGATAATATACAGTTATTGTTTCATGAGTTGGATACTTTTAGACAATATTATAAGATAATATTTAATATGTATTAAAACATACTTTGGTGTATTAACTTTGTAATAAAAATATGTTGAATAATTGGATTTTTCTAGTTTTAATACCAGAAATAGCCAAAAGTGTCGCAAAGGGAAAAATATATTCGAAAAATTTTAGAAATGTCTTTAAGATAGTAATAAAAATATGCATCCCAAAACTATAAACAAAATGTACCCAAATTTATTTATTTAAGTGGGCAGGGCCTGGGTTCAAGCCCGGTTCAACCCAACATCATAAAATAAAAAAAAAGTTTTTTTTTCTAATAGCGGTCGCCCTTCGACAGGCAATGACAAATCTCCGAGTGTATTCCTGCCATGAACAGCCTCGCATAAAAATACAATCGACGTTCGGAGTCGGCGTAAAACTGTAGGTCCCTCCAAGGCGCACGCCACAAATCGGAGGAGAAGCTCGGCCAAACACTATCATATTTGTAAGCGCCAATCTATTATTTTTATTAGGAATGATTTATTCAACCATCACAAGCTAATAGCTAAATTTTGTACAAATAAAGCGAAATTAGCTTATTTTATATTGGCCAAATTTTGACAATTGTTTGACTGCAATGAAACAAATTTTTAAAAATATTCAAAATCAAGTCTTTTTATTTCGATTTCGTGCGAATAGCTCTAATCCAATACTTTTCGTGTATAATCCTATAAGAAGGTCAAACAGCAAAATTACTCTATGAAGTGAGAGTAAAAAGTGAGTAACAACAAAAAGTACGGGAACAAAAAAAGCATTTTTTCCTGTAAAAACGTCAACCAGTGATCACTTGACACTTTTCACGATTTTACCAAACAAAATTCTCCAAAAATCGCCCTCATTTACAGGATTTTGGAGTACGGGTACATTTTTCCTGTGTAATTCATTTACTATACTGTATACTTTAAATTTAACTTTGTAAACAGGTGGCAACTCTCTTCAAGATATTTTGCATTATTATTATTACATATTTTATTTCCAAACCACAACCTCTGTCATCTGACACTCATATCGACGTACATACATATTTAAATGTTTTAATTGCCTTAAATCAAGTTCACTGATTATGTAAACGGGTGGGAATGCTCCTATATGCAGTTTAGAAATAAAAATTTTTCAGGGCCAACTTTGTAAACAGGTGGTAACCCTGTTAAACATATTTTCAAACTAAAACCTTTTTAAACCTTTTTCGTCCAACGCCCGTTCTGTGATACATATTCAGCCTTATCATGAGTTTCATTTTCCCCGAACCGGTTCACTTTTCACATCTGGTTTCCATGGTTTTACTATAGGCGGATGATAAATTTTCGGGTGAATTTTTTTTCAGGCGAAACTCATGATAAGGCAGATTATTATCTACTTCCAATAATTGAACTTGAATTGAATTTTTAAATAACGTGGCAACCCTCCTACATGTAGTTTAGAAATTAAGTTACCTACTTCAAAACAATAAATTTTAAATTTTTGTCCAATTTATATAAAATTTATACACAATAATATTTATATTGCTCAAAAGAACTTTAGTTCCGAAAATGAAAGTTATATCTGGAAAACCTGAGTTACTAGAGTACTTTAAAGGCTCAAAAGTGTCCACAAAATAAGCCAATATTTACCGTTGTTTCTACGGCATAAACCGAACCGATCACTTACAAAAATGAATCTGTCGGTAAGTTTGGATATTTGTCTTTGAAACGCTACTGTTTTCTTTGAAATCGCTTCATTAGTTCTCATGCAATAAGCGTTTTTGTGAAGCTCTAAAAATTACAACTACAACATTTGAGCATGACATCCATACCGAAACGTAAAGCAGAATATACACAATCAGACTTGTATGCATACTTAGTCGCATGTCAGTTAAGTATACACCATGCGACAAGTTGTTCAAACATCATTTCGTTGTAACCGTTGAAGTGAGCGAACATCACGGCATACGGATCTACTTCTTCCCAGTAAATATTTAGAGGCACAAATTATTCATACTGGACTCTTATTGCCCACGCATACGGCTCGTTATGGAGCCATATTTGTAGGTTTTTTTCGGTGAATATGCTAATACCGTTTTTTCCAATAAACAATTTTCAAAAGTTTCGGGGCGACTTTCCTTTAAGGCCTATTCTCCGGTAACACAGAAGAAATGATATATACCCTTGGCGGGCCCCTCTTCTCCGGCAACACGGAAAGGCTAAAGTCACTGCCTTCATCTACTCAAAACAAGCGAAACTTTACAGTTTTTCCCATTTTTGTAAAGCAGTCGGGAGTGGCGCACACAACGTAAAGGAAAGTTGTCGAAAGTTTCTGTCATACACACATATGCATATATGTACTTACACTAATAATTTTTTTCATTCTTCATGAAATCCATCACATAAATCAAAAAGTGGATTTTGAATTTTTATAAGTTAAGACTTTTTTCATTTCAGCGACGATGTTTGTTATGTCTTTTTGCTTTTCAGGTGACGATATATGATATATGTATGTAGTTACATAAAGGTATTATTAAAAAATTAAACCTTAAAATTTATTATTTTATTGGTTAATCTCGCATGGGCTCTTCTGTTATTCTTTTACACGAAATAGTGCTCTGTAAAGATATAATGCGAATCAGTTTAAAAAATAAAATTAATTGGCTTATTTGTGAGTCCAAATGTTTGCTGGGTTTGTATTTTTTTACACAAATATGAAGTTCTGTCTGCATTGTGTACTATAAAGGCATCCACACACCTATGCGATTCTGTCACAACGAATCCGCACTGTTTGTGATGCTACAGACATTACTGCTACGAAAACGCAAGTACGCACACATCTGTGCGATTTTATCGCAGTAAAAACTGTCAATTTATAGACAAACAAAAAATATTTTTTAAAAAAGAAATAAAATTCTTAACTTTTCTACATCAAATATGTTTTGTTTTCTTACGTTCACTTTTGTTTTAATATTGTAAAATCCTTCTATTGACCTTTTTCGTTCTCAAAACGCGGAGTCTGCGATTTCGGCACAACCAAAAGAAGAACTGTGAATGCTCGAATAAATCGTTGCAGCAAAATCGCATAAGTGTGGCGTTCCTCATTTAAAACTATGGTCGGCATTGTTGTAAATTTTATCGGAAAAGATTCGCACCGACAGAATCGCGTAGGTGTGTGGATACCTTAAACATTCATACCTGTCGCAACAACGAGCAGAGAAATTGAAATTTTTCAATTTTCTTCATACATGTCTGCAGACCTAGAATTTGGTAGGCACACCCGCCTATCCACAATGCGACGATATGTCATACTTCACATGTAGCACAGATAAGTATTCTACGTCAAAATTAATAAAAACACGCTATGTTTAATGAATTCACTGCAGAAATAGAAAAACACATGCACTGGCTTAGATATACCGTCCCGGAGTTCGTATAAAGCCCACTTGTTGAAGGCGAACGTAATTAGATGCACGCAAGGTTAAATCAATCGTCAGTCTCATTCTCGGTTAATTGCGGAAATGTACATATCTCTTTGATAAATATGCATTACACTTATACTTTAATTTGTTTCAACGAAATCGGACATATTCACAAAATTTCGCTTCCGGAGGAAATCAAATTACACTATCCCTTTTCATTTTGGCAAGTCGCTGTCACAATTACAACTACCTGCGCAGGGTTGCATTTGGTAACCCGCAATTTTTTATTGCTTTGCACAAGGCACATTAGTCCCCTTTCAGACACGTCAAGTCTTGCTTTCAAGTCTGCTCGTTCGTAGGCGAAGGAGGTGAGAAAAGAGGGGAAGAGTACAGATACCTCCGTACCGTCAATTCGTTTCAAGTTTTCTTGTCTCTTTTGATCTTTTCGTTGCTTCATTGTCTCATTTAAAGAATCAAGAACTTGAATTCAATTAAAGTTGAAAACACAAAATAGAATGCGAAAAAATTGCCTTCAAGACTTGACGTGTCTGAAAGAGGACTTAATATGCCTTGGCTTTGCAATTTGTCCATCTCATTGCTCTTCCAGAGCCTATTGCACACAGTTTTCATATATGGATTTACTTATTCCTGTATTTTTAGAAATTGATCAGACTCATTGCGAGAGTCGTGCCGAACACAAGTCGTTTTTTGAGAGTCGAATCGTATCGAAAATTTCACGTCATTTCCTAAAATTTCCACTCGACTAGTGTATTAATACGGAAAAACTTGGCAGCACTGCATATTTTTCGACGATTTTCGTCGTTTACTTATTTCAGCACGACAGTAGACAATGCCAATGTTGTCGGGTCGTACAATTTAGCATAATTTACGACTCACGCAATGAGGCTGAATATCTGATCGAATTTCCATAAACTTTCAATTTACTGCTAATGGGTTAAATTAGCAAGCAAGGTCTGACAGCCATTAGTTTTTGTTTTGATTTTGATTCTTCACTTTACTTTTGTTGCAATTTCTCCTTAAAAAAATGCATTATTTTGTTAAAAGCCTTTCAAATTATACACTTCAGTGCTGAAATGATGGAACAAGCTGAAATTAGTAAGTACCAATAATATTTTTTAATTTAAAAATCTCTAAAAAGCTTTAATCTAATAAACAGTTTCATCGGCTGAGGAGCAGTTGAAGAAATTTGGTACATTCTTGGATTTTCATGATAAGAGATTGCATCCGCTCCTTCAGAAGACAACACAGTTACCGTCAATTAGGACAACGCCCACATCTCAATCTCTTGTAGAGGTGAACTTTTCCACAAATCAAGAGCAGCTCATATTGCTGCGTATACTTGAATCAGATCGTTTATTGAACAAAACACTTCTCACTTTCGGTCATCTCTGCGCGGAAGTCGATGAATTAGTACAAAAAGCACAGCAAATGCAGTTAAAGTTCCTTTACATTGATGAGAATTTATGTGTGCTATTAACAAATGAAGATGGGTGTGGCACCACAGATGCCACAAAACAGACCAATGACATTTTGCTACAAATGAGCGATTCCATGCAATTCCTCTGCGATATTCAGTTTTTATTACAACGCTTCATAGTTTTGGGCAACAATTTATTGCATCAATGTGGCGCATACTGTGCCACGGAAGATAACAAAAATATGGAGTTTCGATTTGTGGTACTTACAAAATAGAACTGTACATAACAAAATCAACACTTATGCATATCCTTTTAATCCTTCGTGTAGGATGTATTTGACTATCTGGCAGACTTGTTATTACAAATTCTAATCTTTAACGAAATTTTGGCGGGCTCAAATTTCTGCCGCTTTTGGCAGACGTACAAGAAAACTGTAGATACAGTAGCGCACAATAGAAATTGCATGGAAATTTGCACTAAAAGCGAGCTGAATGGATTAAAAAACTGTTTGGAGGAATTTGATTTTCTATTTTCAAATGCTGTGTTTCAAGTATGTAAAACTCTTTTACTGCCACGTACTCTAAATATCTATGTAGAATTTTCCTTACAGAGTTTTCTTGACAGCACTTTTGCATTGAAAGACAAAGTCGGCCCAAAGGGTATTGGTCAACTTACAAGCCAGTGTAATGAGTATATGAAACAATGCTTGGCTATTATAACCAAACACGATGTGTCTGAATTCTGTGAACACAAATTACTCGTACGCCTGAATGCCTTTTGCGTAGTATTCCATGATTTCTGCGGACAAGTTGAAAGTAAACATGTAAAACATTTACTGGAACTAAATCAAAAACATCAAGGCATCATATTGGTGGGTAATGTAGCTTGGCAACCCATCACATTTCTGCGGCGCCACGCTACTTCATTGGTCAAGCCACATGAGCGCCTTTTACAAGATATCAAACGATTGCGCCAGCATTACGTGCAAACACAGGTGCAATCACTGCCACGTGACTGTCGTAACTATTGCTCACAAGTGCTGCTTTGGACGTTAAATGTGCGCAAATCACTAAGCACTGGCCCGTTCGAACTAACAGTACATCAATTTAAGGAGCTAGCTGCTCTGCTGCTGCTTGGATTACGTTATGCCTTGAAAATAAGTTGCCTGGTAAAAGGTTTGGTAAATATGCATGTAGCGTTGCAGTCACCAATGGCTAGATCAACATTGCAGTGTATTTGCAAACTTATTGAATTGCTGAAAAATATACAAGAGGTATTTCAACAGTACATGGATGTCATCGCAAAGGTGATACAATGTGTGCTACAGTACTTACAGTATAAAGTGTTGCATTTGCTGAACCTTTGCAAGGTAATTGGAGAAAACGTTAGGATTATATTGAAAAAAAAGGGTATAAATATGTTTTATTGTAGAAACGCATTACAGCGGCCAAAATGCATGATCGTAATGTCGACGCTTTGGCTGCGCTGCGCGTTGCTGAGAAGTGCATGACAGGTCCACCAACAAAGACGCGCACACTTATTACAAAACTGGCAGTGAATGCAACAAATTTGAACAATCGCACATTGCCACACGATCAGTGCGAACGTTTTCAATTGTTAATGTCACGAATTCTAACGCTAGCAGACTTTCAGCGAAACGTGGAAGAGTTTTGTGATACGACATTCATCTATTGGCATCAATCGGTGCTTTCAGCGTATCTGAAGCAGGTGGTAGAACGCAAGTTGGACTTGAACTCATTCCAGGTTTGAATTTTTGCTTTATTTTACAGTTATGAGTAATATACTTAGGTTTATATTTACAGTATATTTTGCATGCTTTCAACGACTGTGGCAGAGCTCTTACCAATTTGGGGTTAAATGAGATTAAATTGCAAAAATGTCTAGAAAGGGCAACTTACGATAGTCTTCGTAGCGAAATCGTCAGCAAATTATGTGCACAAATCGAAACATTTTTGCGTTTAGAGGTGCATTCAAATTTACAGCTGGAGAAGATGAGTCCATTTGACCAGGGTATTGACGATTATCGCGAGCTGATCACTGCCTGCCCAATTCAGCTAAATGGAAATTATGTGATTTTAAAAGGTTATTCAAATTATTGCCGTTATCTAAGTAGCTGCACTTTAAGTTAGGCATAACCAAGTTTCTCCATAGTTGTGTGCCTCTGAAAATTAATTTTTACTGAATTGTTTTTAGATCACGTCGAAAATTACTTAAGCGCCATGTTTTATAATCTCACCACCATATCACTGCACGACTGGAAAACTTACGAAGAGATGCGTCATCTGGCCAACACGCGTTTAATGCTGAAACCAGTTGAGGACTATTTGCCAAACCAAACTTTGGAGCAGGTTCAAGATTATAGGCTTAGAAAGTCAACAAATACATATTATAATATTAACATATTAACTTTAAGGGCATCGACATTTTGGAGATAATGCGAAAAATTCATATCTTTGTCTCTAAATACGTCTACAACATGAATTCCCAAATATTTGTCGAACAAAAGAGCGCCAACAAGCATCTGGACTCGATTGGCATACGGCATGTTGCTAATTCATTACGCACACACGGCACGGGTGTCATCAACACCACCGTCAATTTTACATATCAATTTTTGCGGCAAAAATTTTACACTTTCTCACAATTTCTTTACGACGAACAAATCAAATCGCGGCTGATGAAAGAATTGCGCGCCTATGCTGAGCGCAAACAATCAAAAAGCTATCCGCTTTATGCCTACGAGCGTGCCGAAGCCTTCAATAAGGATATACGCAAATTGGGTTTATCCAGTGATGGTCAAACATACATGGATCTCTTCCGAAAAGTTATAACTCATGTGGGTAAGTAGTTAATTAATAAATTATTCGCTTATTTCCGAATGCAGTTACATACTTGCATACATATGTAAATGGATATTGCGCAGGCAATGCTATGGGCTACATACGCTTGGTGCGTTCTGGCAGCATACATGCCAACTACAGCGCCAGCCTTTATCTACCAAAGTTCGATGAGAATTTGCAATTTATGTCTGCTTGTCGCGAACAAGAATTGCATAATGTTACTGTGGCGGCGGCTGAGAATTTCGAAGCGAATATCAGCAATTTAGTGAAGAGCTTCTCTGATAGTACAGATTACTTTAAAGTGAGTTGTAAAATGTGCAATAAGATGTTGTTCTTAAAAACGAAAATGCATATTTAAATATTTCAGTTACTTGTGGAAGCATTCCATCCCTTCTTCCGTAATCCACACAATCTACATTTGAAAAATTTCTTTCTCATTGTGCCGGCACTCGCTTTAAATTATGTGGAGCATATGTTGAGTGTCAAAGAGAAAATCAATAAGAAGGATCGCCATGAAGCGGTGCTCTTCGATGATGGCTTCGCCGTAGGTTTAGCATACATTTTAAAGCTATTAAATCAAATCGATGACTTCTATGCGTTACATTGGTTCGCAACGGTGCGTGAACGTTTCAATGCGGAGCGTCGCAAAATACAAGAAATGTTGCAGGATATTAAAAAGTCGACTAACACACGAGGCGGCGCGAAAAGTAACTCAAAAGCAGCGCTTGCAACACAAAACAATGATACGGAAAAGTTGCAACAAACGCTTGCGCTGACCGAACGCCGCATAAATGCACATCAAATGGAGTATAATCTGCTCTATTGCAACTTATGTAGCGCGAAAATATTTTTTCAATAATTAAAGTGATACATACGAGCAATTGCTTGTTTTTTGCATACATTTATTATTTTATACATAGAATTTGTTTTACTATATGTATTGTTTATATATGAATTATTACACTTCAAGAAATTAGAGTAAAATCATTATACACATTTATATTAATAAAAAGTCTGGTGAGAAAAAATGCATTTAGTCACGTAATATTACTAAAATATTTGGAAGCATTGACATTGATATGTATGTACTTATATTGAAGGAGTAAGAAATACAATACCCTAGGCAGCCAGTTATTGGAGTCCGGTTTTGTACACAAGTAGTTTCATATATGCAAACCTATATTTGTAAACTTAATTGTCGCTTCATAGTAAGATAAATATTTTGTTAAGCTGAAGATGCTTTATGCATTAATTAAACGTTGCTCTTATACCATCCAACTAATTCGTGCAAGAAAAGTATTTTCAGTCTAAGAGTGGTCTAGAAATATGTTGATAATTTTGCTTGCATATGTTAATGCTTACAGAAAAGTTATAAAATAGAAAACATTTGGCTACATATTAAAAACAACTGACGTTCAATTTTTGGGAAGTGCTTGAGCTAAAAAAATTTCAACAAATGCCTTCGGTAAAAAACGCTACTTAATGCTCCATAAATTACCCGTTGGTCCCTGCTGTTCTTTCTGATCATAAAGCTACATAATGGGTATGCCATAACCTCAAATTTGTTCTGATGCTTATGAAGTTGGCTTCCGGTTTTTGTTAATAAAAGATACTTTAAATTGAGAACGGCTGCTGAATCTATCTTGCTGCTCTCATTAAGAAGGATTACGAAAAAAAAGCTTCGCATGCTTTTTGTTTTAATCTGTTTTGTTTATAAATTATGCTAAAGATGCGTTAATAATACAATGCATAGATACAATATGCAAAACTTAATATAAAAAAAATATATGTAATATGTATACGAAGTACATTCTGCTTAAAAAGTATAGATAGATATATAAAAATGTTAAGTCTTTATACGTTTGCAATAATTAGTCAATGGAAGAAAAGTTTCAGTGCTTCAAGTCCACTAAAGCATTTTTTTCAATACCTAGCTGCGTTTTAAGGAAAGATGTGCGAGAATCTTTAATCTGCTAGCAATGCAAAGTTCTAAAATTGTTTTGAACTGCGAACTATAATTATAAAAGTAGTGTTAGATTTGATCGCTTGTTAAAAAACACATACACACACTCCGAATCCAAGGATACTTGGCTACATCTGCTCGTGGGATAATTTAAGGCACTTGCTAACACATAGTGGAAGAGTTTTTCTTATTCAAGTTTTTTTCTTCTTCTTCTTTAGAATCCCACCACAACGGTGTGCTCATTAGCCGCACTCGTGGGGGCATGTTTCACGTCAACATGCACTAGCAGCGATGCCAACTCCAGCTCCTCGCTAAATTTATTGCGCAGCGTGACGCTGCGATAACCCGTTCGAATGCAATTCAATGGATAACATGCCTCTGCAATGAAATGCGTCTCTGCAAACATATCTTCGTCCTGTACTTCGAAACGTAGCAGCGCGAAATGTGGATTGCGAACGGTGAACTCACAGCTTTCATTCCACACTGGATTGAAGCCATTCTCGCTTACTTTAGTACGGTGCTTAGTGCCCGTATCAAAACTAGCGCCGCATATTTCCACCGTAACTAACGGATTATTTGATTTGCCGCCGCGGAACAAATGCCTTCCGGCAATGATACGTATCGTTATGAATCGCTCCTCCAATGCGCTGATGGCTAGTGGGTTATTCGGATCAAAGCCATCGACTTGCATAAATTTTGGCTTTAGCAAATAACCACAATTACCATTGTCTCGAAATTTCGCTTGATTCAGTTGCATGGCTTTGTCACCGGTTTGGTAGTTGAGTGCAATCATTTGTGAACCCACATTCCAAAATGGTACCGGATTGAAATTAGATGAATCTAAACGTTGACCCTTTGGATAAACGCGACTGATTTGGTTGCGGTGATATTGTAGAAAGAGCATACAGTTTTGCTGCAGGAACTGTTTCTCGGCTTTGGTTTCTGGGAAGCTGGACATTTCGTAGAATACCCAGGAATGTTCACGGAATGGCACACTGCGGAAGTATATGATCAAATCGGACATCTCCTTGGCTACACGTGCAGAACGTTCTTTCTTACGACGTTCTGTCGCCAGTTGATTGGCGATTTGCGCGCCCTCCTGTATGGCTTTGATCCAATCGTAAGCCAACTCTTGATTATCAAACCCTATGATAAATGAATTTTGCATGGTGGGTGTCTGAATTTGCAACTGGAACAAAATGCCCGGCTCATTTGATTCAGACAAGTGTACAATGGCGCCATGTATGTCAATGGAATCGGTGCGTGAGACATTTTCGCTGTTATTTTCATCGCTAAACGAATTGTAATCATCGCCGGCAGAGTCTATCACCTGTAAAGGAAACTATTGTAATGTATTTTGTTTAAACGCAGAAATACATATGTACGTTCAGGATTAGTTTATCTGTTATGACTCCAACACGGAGACAGACCAGAAAATCCAGATACTTATCCGTTTAATCATTTCATCTTGTCTTGTTAAAAAAATTTACTACTTACCTTAACATAATTTGCCGGAAAGTGACGCTGCACCATGCCGCCATAATCGCCGCGCCACCACATTGACGTATTTCTTTGCACATTTGTGATAATCGCATGCTTTGGAAATGACAATTCGTCCGGTTTATTAGCTTTGTAACTATAAAGCGCTTTACATGTCACACGATCATCCAAACTAGGATCCATATAGCTGGATGCATCATTGAAGTCACCGCCATTATGATGCTCCATGGATATCTGACAGGCCAAGAGCTTTTGACGCAGTAATTCTTGAGACACCGGGTACATCAGTTTAACATTTCGATAAAGCGGGTTTCTCATGTAATAATTGACTAGCGATACAAGAGATTCAAATTGTATGGTGTCCACAACATAGAGGCGACCCTCCTGCATGATGCGGCAATGCTTGATTTTGCGATTTATTGTGAATGATATGACAAATGCATTAGTACTTTGTACCGAGGGACGCACAAGGAATGAACCCACATCGAGTTTGATGAGCACTTGCTCTGCCTGTTCTTTGGTTGTATTTGGATGAAACCATTCCTGTGTTTCATGCTTTTTGGGTTGCGGCACTGGCTCCTTCAGCGTGATCGAGAACTCTGAGCTGCGTAGCATGTTTTTACGATAGTACACAATAAGTGAGTACAGCGAATCGAAGACAAAATTATCGACTAAATAGTATTTGGTGGCGCCATTCTCATGTTTCAGCTTAATGCGACAGTGATTAGGGCGATTGCGACGCCAAAATGACAAACTATAATCACCCACAAACGTGGCAGACTCGCGCACTAAAAATGTGCCATCACCAAGATGCTTATATGCCTCCAAGAGTTGATCAGCCTCTTGACGACCACCTAATTTTGATTTTTTTTTTTGAAAAAAAAACTTAATGCAAATTCAAGATTTCAAATTTAGCTGAATTACCTTCCAATTTTCCATGGAACCAATTTTCACCAAAGTGCAGCTCATCATTGACAAAATTATCCTTCGATTTGGGCATTAATGCTAATGATGAACCCTGGGACATAGCGTTGTCATCGTCATCAGCGCTTCCAACATTATTTTCGTCAGTGTGCGAAGAATAAATTAATTGCTGCTGTGTTAATACAAAATGATACAGGTTCCAAGCCTTGTCCACCGGATCCTTGAAGTATAACATTCCCTCTTTAAGGAAATTGCGAACGTTTTCATTATCATCACCAGTACCACCACTGATGGACGATCTACTTCCACTGTTCGACGAGATACCAGAGCCACCACCGACTATACTCGGCCCACCAGGGCAACCGTCTTCATATTCGGGCAGTTTTTTGTGTTTAAGTATAATCTTGCGACGCAGTTGATGTGGCGATGGAAGTTGTACCTCGGCGCGATCACAACGCTGGGTCAGCAGCATGTCACCGAAGACCTAAAAATAAAAAATTTAGATGTTGATAATTATGCTAAAAGCTTTAAATTTTGCTTTTTTAATGTATTCATACCTCAATTAACGCCTGCGCCATGTTACGCTGCTGCTCCAATGAACAGTTCTGCTCAATTGATAAAATCACTGGATACTCGGAAGTTACAAACGCGTGTTCTTTTATCGTTTTGATCACATCTTTAAATTTAATTTTTGAAGTCATCGTGTGGCCGTGAAAAATATAAGGCAGATTATCGGCCCCATTCCAGCAATCTAGCTCTATACAACGACAACCCATGCGCAAAGCTCGCGCATACGCTTCACATGACGATTCACTGGAAAACTGGTCGCCGGTGAGATAAGTGTTGTGCGACGACGCTATCCAGTAGGCAGATATAGGTTGTTTCATGTCCATGTAAATACGGTCACAGTTCCGATCCCAGAGATCGTTGTGTTTAGAGAAGAGATAATCAAGAAATTCACTCGGTGTGAAATAAGGCTCTTGCACATCGCGTTCAACGTCTTGCAAGAAGTCACGTATGAAGTTGGAAACGGATGCATCATCGCGTCCCATAATCTCATGTTGCTCCTGTATCAAAAAGTTTTGGAATTCACGTAGTGTTACTGCTTCGCCATTTTTCGAGTATGGAAATGTGCCAGGTGTGCTATAAAAGATTTCTTCCAGAAAGTTATGTGGCAACAATAACTTTCGGTACAATCTGGAAAAATCATCAAAGCGTAAGTCATTTTTACGCCTAACATCATCTTCAGAGAAACATTCCATCAGCTTGCTGGTGGTCATTTTGCAGCTTATACTCGCCAAAAACGTTTTAAAATCTTTAACTGTTACCTGACCACCATCTTTGGAAGACTGCATGCTTGAGTTTTCAATAGCATAATATTCACGACGAAGCCAACGTTCTACTTGCAGTGGATAGGGTGCAGTCACGGTGTCCTGCACCATGTAGCGAAGACCGCGTACCCAATTGTCTGCCTCTTGTTCCGATAGTGCTACAACTGAGAAGGTCTTTAGTTTAAATGCACTCCCATGTAGCACGACAAAGCACTTGGCCGGCTCGAAGCGTTTCGAATCTTCAGCACAATTGCGAAATTCTTTCGAGCACTTTCCAACTCGTATCTCTCGTATTTCACGCAACTCCAGCGATCCTTCATAATCGGTACGTGTATCCGCCATAACTGAAGACCACAGAAGCTGACGAGTTTCCCGCACCAACATCAGACGACGCTGTTCTGGGCGATGCTTAGAATAGAGCTTGGTGATAATGGTGCCACGTTCAAGCATACAAATGGTTTGCTCCATCTCTCCCAATGTGGGCACACTCATTGCGCTGAAACAATTCAACATGGTGGCTGTACTATTCAATATGTATCGATGAAGGTAAGTTATCGCCGAAAAAGTAGTTTTTGTTTGTTTACTGGTCAATAATCACTTGTTGGCCCTACTTGTATATTTTTGTTCAAGGAACTTCCTGTTGCTTGTCGAGTTTTCTTTTTTTGTTTTTGCTTTTGCGTATACTGCCTGCACTTTAGCAAGTTTCATAGCAGTGCCATATTTTAGATTCGTCCAACCACACAATTCAATATTATACACACGTTTGTTTCTATTGCTATCACTACAATGGAATTAACAAAGTTTTAATCATATTAATTAGTATCCAATACGATTATTTGTAAAATTAAGGCACTTTGCAAGAAGTTTCCTTTTGTCGTTGTTTTGGATGAGCGCATTGCCAGCGTGAATAAGAAATGAACAGATGGTGCCGTTGAAAATAAATTTGACGCCGTTTACTATCCAGTGGCGGCTTAAAACGCGCATACAACGGCCGGTAGCAATTTAAATTAAAGTGTAGCCACTGTATTATTTCCTTCCCTTTAGATTTCCTTCCGCTTTTGACAAAATCTAATCACAGCTCCGGTGCGTGAATTTCTTTGTTTTTCGTGAAATTTGTATTACAAAATTACAAGTAAATGTGGTAATATAGTTTTATTAAACAAAGCGAAGAATTCAATTCTCCAATGCGTTATTCGGGTAAATACGAACGAGTGAAGCGAAATTCGGAAACGTAATTATGTACCATGTGAGTTGAATCTTCATTTTGACTCCATGGGAATTCTAAAAACTTTCACACAGGCACTGAGGAAAGATATGCTTATTACATGGAATACCTAAAACAGAACCAGCGAATCAAATGTAAGTGCTAGACTTTTGAAGTTTTACGAATGCCATTTATTTTATGATTGTATTTAAATATGATCTGTATATAACTGAGTTAGGTTAGGTAGTAATATTGGCGGAGTGGAAATGGGATTTGAACATATTTTTTTTACAAGCTTTTATTAAGTTTCCCCTATGTGTAATCAAATCTTGCAATTAATGTTTTACCAACTTTTCGATGAGCCAGAGGCTTGACACTTCACACATGGCTCAGAACCCAATGACAATGGAATATGAAAATTGAATTAATACGGTAAGTGGCGCGGGTTTCGAGATATTTGAAAGCACGTATTTATGATCCGATATGGTTCATATTTAGAACCTATAATAGTAAAATAACTTAAAAAAACTTAGCCGACGAGGTGCGGGTGTTGATTTTTCTTATTTATTAGCCACTAGTAAAAGCTTGTCTCTAAAAAAATTTATTACATTACTTGTTTAATGTGGATCGTGAGAATATTAAATACATTACGTGATTCGTGGCAAGGAAATATTAAAACAAATTATGCATACTTACTTTTTTTATTAAATTTGTTCAAAAAAATCTGTAAGCAGTTTGATTTCTCCGTGCGACGTTAAATTTTACACACAAAAAAAAATAATATATTCGTGAGACTATGGACAAAATATAGTAAAACCGAATATTTACTCTTTCTCTCTGACGGCAGGGTTTCTCTAAAAGGACTTTGAAATTTAAAAGATATAATTAATTCAAAATATTATTTACAAAATCCAGGTCATTGCAGAATAATACTGTGGTTAACAAATAAAAGAGAATTGTTATTCTACATTGCACTGAGTTTTTACGGCAGAGCTAAAAATTAAGAACGTAGTTTTGCTATAATTTCCGTGTGTTTTGAATTTTTTTGTTTTTGTCTCGCGGAGTTTGCATACATACATATACATATATATCCTGAAAAGGTGCAAGTGATATTGTTAAAATAATAGTGTACATTATAAAAATAATTAAAACCCACTGTTGTGATTTACCATATTTTATTACATAAATTCAGAGTATGATAATACATATTTCCTTTTTGTTTTTGCCTATACCCAGCATAAATAGGAATATAGCGAACACAACACATAAAATACATAATTACAGTGATTATTTACTTACATAAGTATGTATGTAGGTATATATAATTAAAATAGTATAATAAATACAAAGGATTGCAACTGCCTCAAAATTAGTTCATTTGTTTAAAATATGTTAATTAAAAATCAACAATATTGAGCATGCTATTGCCATTATTGTGATTAATATTTGTGATACGTAAATATGTTTGTAATTATGTAAACTTAACACAACTCACTGTTTCAAGTAAAAGTAAATGTAAAAGTTTAAAGCTTTTAAGAAAGCCAGTTTAAATTCAGTTTTCAAGTTTGTTTACGCACATAGTATCTTAGTTATGTATGTACATATATGCGATTTGTGAAAATGTGTTTTTAGGAATTACATATACATTTAAGTGAGTTAAGATTAAGTGTTGAGTATTGTTGCGTAGGAATGTTTGTGTATGAGTATTTTGGTTTGTTTATTCTTTTTAATTTGAATTCTGTGTTGCTGTTTTCGCATCGTATATTACCGCGCATGTGAGTCGTGAGATCAATTGAAAGCCGGCGAGATTCGGTTTAATTTTTTATATTTATATATAATACTTAGTCTTAAAATTAGTGTCGTTTATTGAGTTAATCAATTCGCTTATTGTACGTAGATGCTTTATGGGACCTTTTTTTTCTTACTCGTATTGAGAGTTGTGTTTCTTTCTAAAGACATTCTACTTTTGGTAGCCCATTTGGTTATTTTTTTTTTTGTAATTTTTCTTCTGTTATTTATTTTTAGTTATTTTTTTTTTTAATAACATTAACAGTTTCTTAAAAACGTTGTTATAATATTAAACTCGGGGGCAGTTTGAGTTTCCTAAAATATTAAAATTTCCTTTTTTACCTTTTTTGTTATGTTCTTTTTAGTTTTTATATTAATATCAATGTTTGATTATAAAATTTCTTTTTCATAATTTAATGCGTAAAGCGTTTACTTACATAATTTATTAATAACTGATTATTTATTAGAGCGCAAGCATATTTTCGTTTGTTTTAGTTCTGTTTGACTAGGAAATTTAGTGTTACAAAGATTCTTTTATAAAAAACGCATGTGCATGATTACATGTATTTTATAAAATCCATCTTGGGATAAAATCTAAATGAGGAATAACCAAAGACGGTAGAACATCATGAATTTGCTGCTATGCATTTCCGTGGTGGCAAGTTTCAGATAGCTTTTTAACTACGCCAAAAACTTGTAGCTGTTTAAATTCTTGTTTTTCAAATAATATTTTCCTTAAAAAATAAAGTAGGTCTAAGCAGCTTTATAAAGTGACATTTTCATAGAAATTTTCAATTTATAAAGCAGTTAAAGTCTTCTTTATTTTTTATGAATTTGGATGTTAATCTAAAAATTGTTTCCCGCCAATAGCTATAGAAACGCAACAAAAAACAACTTTCTGTTTTGGGTGTTTTTTGAATAAAACTATTTTCTTCAAAGAAAAGTCGAAAATACTACCACGGTTTCAAGCATAAAAATAAACTCCACTCCTCCATGAAACTTTGCAAGTAGAGTTATCGATACATATTGTCAGTGACTAAGGCTAAGCGCATAGTGGAGTGGCGAGCAAAGAGCATCGAACAAAGCGTCGATTACAAACGTATTTGTTTCAATGGGAGCGCACCCAGTGAAGAGCAAAGCGTACATACACGTCTGTAATTGACGCTTTGCTCGATGCTATGCTCGCCGCTCCACTATGCGCTTAGCCTAATGCATCATTCAAAGATTTTTACAACCATATTGCTCTCTTATGATATACCGTTATATTTAGGTGCTTATGAATTATGTTTTTAAGTATTTTATTAAATGCTGTGAAGTTTGATTTGATTTGGTATTTTTTGGTATTCTTCGCGCACCTGATTGCACTTAGATTTTAGTTCGCAAAGTCAATATGACAACAATATTCATTTTACTAAAACATTGAGCCTGAAATTAAGCTCTTTTTATGTACCCTTTTATCGCTACACTTTCAATTTTACTGAGCCTTATTCTTTCGCAGTCCTTTACTGTCGTGTCGCCAGCACAATTCCCGCTTCGTTGTATATATGTATTGTAATAGTATATGTTTATATTACACATACATACATAAATATATTCAACTCCATTTGTTTAAACGCGAATTATGCCCTCAACTGCCTGTCTTTTCACCTACAAAATAACTTCACTTCCTTCGCTTCACTGCTTAGCTCCACCACCTGGTCCATAAGATGAGGCATCACTTATGCGACGTGTTAAAGTTGCCTTGCGATTTAATGTGGCCGATGAGTGATTGGATTGCAGTGTATTGGTACTTAAATGATGATTGGAACGATGTGAAGGATAGTAGTTGAGTGGTGCCATATTCGGATTATCGATGCGTGTTGGTGACGAAACTACGGGGCGTGGTGAAACACGTTGTAAAGTATTGATTACTTCCTGTGGTTCTTGATATCCAGAATCCAAGTCATCATGATAGGAATCCATAAGTGGCGTGGGGTCTTCATAGTCATAATCCACGAAGCCATTGTTGTCGAAAGACTGAAAAAACGTTGCAATATTAAAGTGATTTGAGTTTTTGGTTTCACACTGAGGTAAAACCCACGTATTCAAAACAAATTGTAAAACAAACATTTTTAAAATAATTTAATTTTTTTTTGAAAACGCATATTTTGGAACATAAAATAAACATTTTAGAATCTCATCTGAATATGAGAATTTTCAAATATCAAACGATCGTTTTCAAAAGCGATTTGAATATGTTCATATTAAAAACTAAAATATAAATTTTAGAATAAGAATTGAGGATGTTTTTTTCTGAAAACTAAAAGAAAAATTGTAGTGCAAAACTTGGGTCAAAACGTTTTTAAAAATAAAACGTTCCATATAAATTTGAAAACGTAAATTTCTCTGGGCAACTTTGATTCAAATCTTACTTTTTTTGCAGTATAATACATTGTTTGGATTGTTTGAATACACACAGTTATGGGAAAAATAAGGACACAACACTTTGACCAGTTCTGGCTTTTTTCTTTCATTTGTTTAATGTTTATATAAGTTATATAAATCTACATTTTAAAATTTATACAGAAATTAAAAAACAATAAGAACAACAAACTTTTTATAAACATTTTTTAGAAAAATTCTTATCATATAGTTTGTAGCCCCTTAAATTCAGGTAATACATGGAAAATTTCAAGCGTCTAAAATGCGAGACAGACGGGCATGCTTATGCAGATTAACTAGCACACAAATGCCCTGACAGACGGCAGCAATGCGGATTAACGAACCGCAAATGCGAGTGTTCGAGTCCCACGGCCAGTCGAACTTTCATTTGTTTCCTTTTTATTAACTTTTTTTATAAGTTCTATATTTCTTTTAATGTTGCTTTCAGTTAGTTGTTGTTGACTTTCTTAATAAAATTTAACTCTAAAAAATTAAATTAACTAATAGTGAAATAAAAAATGTGATATAAAATAAAACAAATGAAAATAAAATAAAGGAAAATTATATATATTTATAAGTCAAATAAAATGCGAAAAAAAATAAAATAAATAATAAACTCGCTTGCTTTGTTTGCCTACTTGTACAAAAGACAAGGGTAAAGTTTCAAATTTTTCTTAAACCGACCTTTGAAAAAAGTTCAAGAACAGCTTCAAAAA